TGTTCCTGGACGCTTATCATTTTTGGAATCACATCAACATACTTGAGACATCTCAACTGCTGCTGTTTACTCCCCCCCCCACCAACCAGGACTTAATTGAGCTCCAATTTAATCATGCTCAACACCCATTGCCAACCTGCTAAAACGCAACAGCTTATTCCTAAAATATATAAGTATGCCTCTATGCATTCGTTGAATGAGACCTCAAGGTTTAGTTGATGAATAATAATGTGATCTAGATTAAATGGGCATCGGTTTTGTTTGTTTGTTTGTTTTTTAAGAAATCAAATGCAGAACTAGCAAAGACTGAGATGGAAAAACGCTTCTTCTAACGCTTTTGTGATGTATGTGTGCAGAATCCAAACCAAAAATATATTGCTGGAACTTTTAAAATCAGTAGTACTGCTGCAACGATATGCACATTTATGCAGATGGCCTCTCCCAACTAGAACTCTCAGAATTGGTTGGAATATAACTCCCAGGCATAGGAGCTAAGAATAATTGGAGATGTGTTTCCAAAACAGTACAGCGTATAATTAATGGATAGGCAGCTTTCCTCTCTTCTTGTGACAATCCACAGGCGGTTCCAACAAAAAGGAAATTTATGATATGTTGACATCAGGAACAAAATACCAAATGCCCACTTCCTGACCTCATTTCATTGGCACTGAGCTATAGCCACAAAGCATCTGCTGCTTTCAACAAACTTCCCTGTACTATTTCAATCTTCCCTAAAGCAGCTTTGCTACTTTCAATCAGACTTAAGCTGCAGTGATATCTGGGCATGAGGACCTTCACTGGTTCCCAGATGTCACACACTTAACATTTTTTTTAGGCTCTTCAGGTGAGAAAGCCTTGCAGAATCCTCTCAGCAGATTGGGATGACTTGTCTACCTTTCTTACAGAATCCTGAAATTTACTCACGCTGCTGCCATTTCTATCACAGTAATGAAGCTTACCACTTTGTGCTTGGATTGGGAGTGCAGTATGAACCTTGAATAGTATGAATTGATAACCACATTGTGACATGAACCCCATTATACAACCCCATTATGTCCTCTGGTGCACCATGAGGATAACAATTGGATTTATTTTTTTTTGCAGTTCTTTGTAACCATATAGTTTGATTGAAATTTATCACACTTGAAATGCTCATAAAAATCTACTGGGACTTTAGGACTTTGGAACTGTGCACAGACAGTGCAAAAAAAAGTTTATCTCATGCTTTTTAGCCAGGGCCAAGCCTAGAGTCTTCAAGCAATCTCTCCCCCAAAGTCAGGTTAGCTCCATTCCTTCTATCATTTTGGAAGTCCCTCGAGGCCTGGCTATGTCACCAGGCCTGGGGTCTCAGGGATAGTCTTCGAGGGCTCCACTGTGGTTGATCGTTTTTAATCTCTGTGTGGTTTTATTTATATGTTTTTAAAAATCTTTTAATGACTTTATATTTTTTATGAATTTTTAAATGTTTTGATTGTCGAATTCCACCCAAAATCACTTTTTTTGAGATGAGCAGCCATATAAATGTGATGAATAAATATACTATTATGAATGTGAATAAATAAATGTACTTTTTTCTCTCAAGCATTTCCTCAGGGATCGTCTGTGGGGAAACTAGGTAGGCAAGAACAAATTTAAACCAATGAGTTTAAAAACATACCATGTTCATTCAGTTAATTATTGAGGGAAATGATTCAAAGCTGGCTTTCTTTTATCTAGTTTTAGGACCTGTATAGAGAATAGACCACATCTTAAGTCACATTTATGCAAAAATGTTGAAAATCCAAAAGGATTCACAAAGGTTTAAACCAGGGGTAGTCAACCTTGGCTCTTTTATGACTCGTGGACTTCAACTCCCAGAATTCTGGGAATTGAAGTCCACGAGTCATAAAAGAGCCAAGGTTGACTACCCCTGGTTTAAACAAACACCAGTGTACCTTTCCAGTGTTTGCTCTCCCTCCTTTCTCTTTCACAACTGATTTTCCTTTCTCCTTTTCTTTTTCTGAGATTCCTGTGGACCAGATGATTGCAGGAAAATTGTATCTCTTATCATGATTTTGAAATGAACTCTTGCCATGGGCTTTGGAAAATAAAAACCAGGGGACACGAATACTCAGGAGCTGCAGCGTCAATCCATTTTCAAGAGATATAAGCCAGTTTATTGTTATCACAAAACAAGGGAACTTTCAAATTAACTGTTTGCTAAGTTATGAAATATCAGGGTCAAGCTTGACTCGATGACTTTGTCAGCCTATGTATGTAATTTTCTTACCATCTTTTGCCAGTGTCCCTCCCCCTCAGAGTATTCCTTCAGCTCCCCAATCTAGCCTATATTGGTGAGCTTCTCATCTAACTTCTAACCTGATTTGAACTTGTTTCTTTAGTATCAGCCGAGATCAGCTAGATGTTGCCATCTGCTGTCACTAAATTAGATTCTGCAAATTAAACTGTGGCTCTTTACAACTAACAGAATAATATAGCAGGTCCAAAGTAAGTAAAAGTAGCACTTATAACTTGTTAATTTCTCAGTACATCCTGTGCCTTAGTGGTATGATTTGCAATTTTACAAGGTCTTCAAGTTAAAATGACACAGCTGAATTCTGAAGACTGTTTCCCTTATAAAGTTTTCTTTGTATTTAAGATGATTCAGTGTTTTTTTGGAATGTTTCTTTTTAATGATTCTATCTGTAAATGTCACTTCCATTTCTAAAAAAGATTTGAGAGGTATTTGTTTTTGATGTAAGAACTGTGAATACTGTAGAGACCCATCTTGTAACAACTCAAAATCTCAAGAGACATGCAGAAAGTAAAGTTTTGACTGGGTGATTGTTAGAATTAGTAGGCCTTGCATTGTAAAAGCAAGCAATCCAGACCATCATTCTCAAGTACCAATACCTCCATAATCATAATATGGACATGAGACTTACCAGGTGTTTAGGAAACTTGGAATCAGACTTTTACTATGGTTACTCCCCAAAATTACTTACAATATCTAGGAGATACATTGAAAACATACCATTTCCTTCTTAGGACATTCAAGTGCTTGCAAAACCGAAATATTCAAAACAAATTTGAAATGGCTCAAGTACAACTAGCTCAGAAGACCCAGAGCTGTTTCATACTCAGAATGTCTTGTATTCCCCAACTTCACCCACCTAAAAGGGCAGGATTCTTTTCCTCTTAATAAGGAGACAATCTACTATAGCAGAGGTCCCCAACCTTTTGGGCACCAGGGACCAATTCCATGGAGAGAGGTTTTTCCGCAGACCAGAGGGTGCGTTGTTTTGTGTGCTGTCTGCATCTCGTGGATGGGGCTTTGTGTGGACCGGTTGCTGGCATGCCAAGGCCCGGTACTGGTCCACGGACCGGGGGTTGGGGACCCCTGTACTATAGCCAACTACATTCAATAAGATATGATAAATTATAGTCTGGTGCATTTCAGTGGACCTGCAATACAATTTCCGCATATAGGAACTGTCGTGTATAATGTGGCAAACAATACACTCATTTTTCAGATATTTGCATATTCTTTATGTGCAAAGTTTCTAAGTCAAAGAATGCTCTAACATGGCAAACTGATGCCAATGTCCTGAATTTTTTTTTCTATTCCTGCTATGTAAATATCTCCCTTTTCCAGCAAACTGCTTACTGGAGTAGGCAAAAACCAAAGCAACAGCAAAAGCAAAATGGTCCTGAACCATCATCTCAAGCTATAATAGAAAAAATACAAATGGTCATAACTTATTAAACCAGCATATGCTTTATAAAACTACCTGTGGAGATCAATCTTGAAAAATTGTATTTCAGGCCTGATTCAATTTATGCTCACACCTCATAAAAGCCAGGATTATTTTTTTTTACAACCATGCTTTGCACCATCTGTGGTGAATTGCTTTGTGTATCATGCTAAACAAAAGGTAGGCAACTTGAAGACTGGACTATATGAATCTCCCAAACCCATTTTCTGTGGTTTATTGCCGAGATCAGTTTTTAATCATTTTGAGATGACAAGCGGTGAAATATTAATAAGAATTAATTCTTCCTCCATCCAATGTATACTTCTACTTACTTTCCAACTTGTTCATTTTGTCCCTTCCAAAATTGTTAAGTACTGACTTTCACCATCAAAAAATTGCTTATTCCCTACAAGATAGACGGCTACAATAAAACACCCCCCTATACTAGTATTTCAGATTTGGGGACATTGCTCACCCTCACATTCTGCCAGGATTTTGGTTTACACAACCCATGTTCTGGTACTTATTTGTATCTCACCTTATTTTTACAAATAAGGCAATGAACATATTCAACACACCTTTCTCCTCCCATTTTCCCCACAACACCACTGTAGGATAAGTTGAGCTCAGAGTGAATCTCTGCTAACAAAATGCTAAATAAATCAGATATTCTTTAGTATACAGTTCCAATAAGACAGCTACACTTGCTCTAATCCAGGTTGTTTTTCTGCTCACGGACACAATTTCTAGTTTGGACATGTGAAGGCACATTCCTTTACTTAAGAGGAAAGCAAAATGCAGATAGACTTACAACCACAATCGAATCCAAAATTCCCATTGCTAAGCAAGACAGTTGAGTTTTGCCTCATTTTACCTTTCTTGCCATAGTTAAGTGAATCACTGCAATTAAATTAGCAACAGTTGTTTAAGTGAATTGGACTTCCCCATTGAGTTTGCTCGTCAGGTCACAAAAACGATCACACAATCCTGGGACACTGCAACTGTCATAAATACCTGCCAGTTGCCAGGCATCTGAATTTTGATTGTGTGACCACAGGGGTGCTATGCTGTTGTAACTCTGAATGGTCACTAAGTCAAGGACTACCTGCTTTCATACTGAATATCAGTTCACGATATGCCAGGATTTTCTGAAGTCTAATTTATCACTTTGATTGAACATGATGTTTCTCAGGTTAAGAGGAATTAAATATTCAGTGATTCTATGCAATATGATTTTATAGAAATCAAAACTCATAGGCTAGTAAGTTAGCTAAAAAGAACTGTATTGTTAGCTGAAATATATGTATCTGTATGTCATCAGTACAGGCGCTGGGGTTTCCCCATGGTGCTCTTGATGTACAAGGCACGCACATTTTGCCAATTTTTCTTCAGCAGAGATACAAGGAAGTTGACTGCCAAATGAATGTTGTACACTAACTCATCCTCCGTCATCTTCACATGACCAACTGCCACAGCAAGACACAGCACCTGGAAGAAAACACTCAAATTTATTAAAATTGACTAGGAATAGAAATTATCAGAACAAGCAGTGGAAGAGGAACAGAGGAATGTAATCTGACAAGCTATCCTTAAAAGGTCATTAATATGATCTTTGTAAAATCGACCAATTGCAGCTCGGTATCAACACTGGATGATAAGGTCTTGCCTAACTCAGAAACAATACATTAGGATGGCCTGGTATTGTATTTGCCAGGTGTCCCTATTTAAGGAAATCAATCTCTCAAATTGGTATAGCTAGGACAGTGGTGGCGAACCTATGGCATGCATGCCAGAGGCGGCACTCAGAGCTCTCTCTGTGGGCACGTGCACCATTGCCCCAGTCCCGCCTCCCCCGCGGCCCCCTCACCAGCAGCCCCGTCACCCGCGGGCATGGAGCAGCGCAGCCAAGGACATGGCAGCTGGGCAGCAGGGACTGCCCTCATGCCCCATCATGCGCAGATGATGCTGCGGGGTGCGGGCGGAGGGTATGGCCACCATGGCACTGCAGAGCCGCCTGGGTGATCTGCTGCGGAGGTGATGGGTGACCCTGTGAGCAGGCAGGGTTGGGGCAGAGTGGGGTTGGGGCAGGGGCAGAATGAGCAGGGCAGGAGGCGGAGCGGGGCAGGGCCAGAGCGGTTTTTGGGCACTCGGTTTCTAAAAGGTTCACCATCACCGAGCTAGGATGTACAATTTGCCACAAAACTGGATAGATGCAAATAGCTGAAGCCCTCAGGAACCATGTAAATATTTTTGTAATGAAGAATACAGTACTTTTCTTCTAATACAAAATATGGTTACCATTGTGCAAATTAGAGATAAATCAACTTTATGTGCTTTTACGTTCTTCCCACTTCACTGACACTGAAGTGAAAACCCAATTCAGTAGATGTAATTCTCTGTGGGTGCCCCCACCCTCTGGAACGAAGATGGGGGGCTCTAGGCCTGCTAAGGCCTAGAGGATAGAAAAGCGGCGCGGGAGTTCTGTACCGAAAAAGTCGTTCGCCCAGACCGGATCCCTCTTAAAATTTATCCCTGTTAAAATTAATCTTAAAATTACCATTGTGTCGCCAATTTATAAACAAAAATTAACCTTTTTATTGGGGATAGTGTTTGTATTGTTTTAACATGCTGTAAGCAGCCCTGAGTCCTGTTGGGAGAAGGGCGGCATATAAGTTTAATAATAAATAAATAAATAAATTATATGGGGCCCATTCAGTGCAAAGTGACTTTCTCTAGATATTTGTGTAAATCTTCTTTCCCTTTTCAGCAAGATAATTTTCTGTGGGCCTGCTTCTTTAGAGAATACTAGAAATTATTTTTTCCCAATAAAAATATATACTGCCAAATTTAAGGAGTTGAAAAATACCTTTTTCATTTGAAACTTGATTGTGGATTTCACTTCATCTACTTTGCCCACCATGTTCTCATTGTGAGTGAGAAGAGAAGGGAATTTGCCAGCTTTGTTCAGTCCTGGCCCCAGGATTCGAGGAATTTGCTTGATCAGGGATTCAGAGGCCAGGAAAGCATCGTATTTCTTGGCTGTATAAAATAAAAAAAACACAATATTGAAAACACTCAAGACTCATCTCAAACAGGTATGCATGTTAACAATATGGAATGCAACAATCTAGACTCGTGTGAGCACAATTAGTATTTATTGGGTTCATATCCCAAAATAATCAAGCATTTCTTAAGGGCTTAAAATTAACAAAACAATTTAAACATTTGTATAGCCTACCAACATAAATCCAAATAAATAAAACAATTTAACAATAATGCGTTAATAGATTAGGCTGTCCAAATCAGGAAAGTATTTCCTAGTATAATTTGGTTTTAAATAGCTTCCTTAAGGCCAGTATCAGACTACTTACTGAGGCTACTAAAATAAGGACCAGGTGCTAAGACTGCTTGAATTAGTAACATATATTTTTAGGAAAACTCCTTTCAGCATAACATAATTGGAAAGCAATTAGCAGCACAATTATTAGAGTACAAAGTTCTGTGAGATCAGGACTGCAAAACCACAATTTTAATATGCTTCCCCTTTTGCTATATCACCGTAATATGGAGATCTATGGCTCCATCCCTTAATTGTTCAGTCCCAAGGACTCAGGTTATATGCCTCTGCTTTACAGTCTTCATTTGCAATTTTTTTTGGAAGGGGTAGGTGGGAATGAATGTACCAGATTGTTTTTCACTATTAAGCCACAAGAATGTTAAACCAAAGTGAATCTAATATGGTACGGAAAAGATTAGATTTTATCGGATGTTAAAATCTTGGATATTCTTTTTTAGTTTGCTTACCTAGTTTCTTCACTAGCTTTTTGTTCTTATTCAGTTTTTTAAGGGCCTCTATATCCATGTGTGGGATGTCAACGGCTTTGGCTTCATCACAATGCTGCTGATCCCCCAAGACACAGACAGAGAATTTAGGTCTCGGAGCCGACTTGAGCCTGGGAGAGCAAAGAGATCATCACAATAGCCACTTCCTATCAACAAAGTTATACAAAATGGCAAAAGAACATTCAAAACTGGTGCTGACAAATCTTACCAGGCAGCTAGCACGTCTCTGTGCACCAGGATCTACCTCTGGCTTCTTAAAAATGATCGGCAGGATTAGCAAAAGAGCCTCACCATGCCTCCCCTCATGTTTTAAGACCCAGGGTAGGGGTCCGTCCAGCCACACCCACTGCATAGTGTGAGGTGAACTGAACTACCCTGGCAATTCAGCATTGCACCCAGCTACCACAGATTTTACAAGCCAATAGGCTGTACGAATGTAAACCAAATTAGAAGACTTCTAACAGGGAGAAGGGTGCAAGCAGAAGGCTGGGTGGTACAAGAAGGATGCCAAACCTGACAGTGCCAGAAAAACGCTTGTCCTTTTGAGGGTCATAGTTTTTCAGACTGATCTGCAACTCCACAGTCTCCAGGAACCTATATAACGAAAACAGAATGCGTATTTGGGTAAAAATTGAGGACAACTGAATACAGTAGGAGAAAGCAATCAGGTGATCTTCAGAAGTTTTGAATTATAGCCTCTACACAGATTACATGCTTATAACTGTAGTTAATTGGACTTCAATCCAAAACATCTAGAGGCCAGTGAATACATGAAATGATAATTTCATTTAAGATGAACTTTATTTTCTAAAGGAAAGCATTTAGCACAGTGTTTCTCAACCTCAGCAACTTTAAAATGTGTGAACTTCAACTCCCAGAAGTTCCCAGCCAGTATACTGGCTAGCGAATCCTGGGAGTTGAAGTCCACACATTTTAAATTTTCTGAGGTTGAGAAAGTGATTTAGCACAAACATATCAGTACTGAGTAAATTACCCCTCTATGAATTTATTTATATCCCGCTTTTTTTATATAACTAGCTCAACGTACCCACTACTCCTTCCTCCTCCTATATGCCCCACAACAACCCTGTGAGATGGGTAGAGCTGAAAGAGAATGACTGGCCAAGTCACCCAGCTGGTGTTTCATGCCTAAGATGAGACTAGAACTCAAGTCTCTTGATTTCTAGCCTGATATCTTGGCCACTAGACAAAATTGGCTCTTAACATTTAATTACTCGCTTAATTGCTCCAAACAACCCGTTTTCATCATGCAAGCTTATAAAAACATTTCACTAAAAACTAATAAAAAACCAGCTTTCTGTTCAGTGGAGACTATTTTGTTCTCCTATAGGAAAACCAAGTGGGATATCTGTAATGTTTACAATAATTTACAGCTGCAGTTGATTTTAATACTATCCAAGAGAGATGTAATTGAACTACTGTTCAATATTGTTACAGAGAACTTTCCAATATGAGCTGACAATGAGCCTCTTGGAGAATTAAGATCTCCAAGAGCCCTGATGGCCCAGTGGTTAGAACTGTGTTAGTACTGCAGGCTAATTCTGCTGACTGCTGGCTGCCAGCCAAGGTTGACTCAGCCTTCCATCCTTCCAAGGTTGGTAAAATGAGGACTCAAGATTCCTGGGGGCAATATGCCGATTCTGTAAAACTGCTTAGAGAGGGCTGTAAAGCAGTGTGAAGCGGTAGATAAGTCTAAGTCCTATCTACTGTTTTTCCAAAAGACTCAGGATTTCACAGTGGCCTTGCTGATCTCAGCTCCTGCAAATCTGTCTTCATTCATATAAGTCACCCAAACACTCCAATTCATGATCAGACGCAGCTCCTTTTTCCTTCCAATTGCAGAGGAATTCTGTCTTAATGGTAGTCTCACTGTTGTTATACAAAAAGGCAGTGACGTGCATGACGTGCACACTGCAGCTATAGCAAACTCTGGTGTTCAGTTTACTCAAATTAACTTTATTCAATAGGTCTTTTCTGAAGTTCTTACTTGCGGGTCTTTGCCTGACTCCCCTGAAGGACTTCCTTCACAGCTTCGTACAGTGTGTCACGGGAGACTTTGCTGCTGTGGAAAAACACAACGTCCCAATTTAAACCCATACAGACTTTCAGATTCGTTGTCAAGTGTGTTTCTGGAGTTCAAAGAGGAGCAACCCCACCCACCCAATATGCTATTTACACAGGAGCGTCCCTTGATATGGCTCTCCCATGTTCATTCATATTGAAAAAGGGGTAGTGACATTAGGGTTGCCAGGTCTGCTTCCCAAAAATAGCGGACAAGCGGGGGGGGGGGGGGNATGACCATTTTTCACAGTTACGACTTTTATAAAATCACCATGATCATGTGATCAAAATTCAGATGCTTGGCAACTGGTTCATACATGACCGTTGCTGTGTCCCAGGGTCATGTGATCACCTTTTGCAACAGTCTGACAAGCAAAGTCAATGGGGAAGCCAGATTCATTTAACAACCGGGTTACTAACTTATCAACTTCAGTGATTCACTTAACAACTGTGGCAAGAAAGATCATAAAATGGGGCAAAATTCACTTAACAAATGTCTCTCTTAACAGAAATTGTGGGCTCAATTGTGGTCTTAAGCCAAGGACTACCTGTATTGGTTTCTAGTCCTATCTGGGTTTCTACTGCAATTACAACCACTTGATTCTGTCAGGTGTCTTCTATTACATCAATACCTACTTCTCAATGGTATCTCAATGGTAGTATAATTGTGGTTCTGGGCATGACGCTATTATTATTCTCGCCAGTTGCCAGCCCTCTGATGTTTTCAGGAACATTATATCTAGTGCCTAGAATATTGCTAGTGATTTTGCTGACTGATCAAAATCCTTATTTTGCTTGCCACAGAGCAGTTGCAATCCCTAACACAATCCTGAGAGAAACGTGGGCTATAAAACTGGGTGGAGAGCAATTTTGTCATAAATATTAGACCTGGAGTTTATTCCAGGTCAATCACAAGTATATTCTGAAATTCCAATGAAACTAAATGAAGTTCTTAATCTGCTGAGGTGTCCATTTAAAGCAGCGACTCCCAACCTTTTCTATACTCCACACCCCTAGAACGCTTCTTATATATTCTCACACCCCTTAAAAAAGTTTGAAATAAAGGCAACAAATTATACATATACACTATAATTTTGAAAACCCAAGTTTTCACACCTCCTAGAATATTGTCTCGCACCCCCGGTTGGGAACCCCTGATTTAAAGTATTGATTTAATAGTTTGAATTTTTGCTCTGCCATTCCACTTGATTGAGGATAATCTGGACAACAATGTATTAATTTTAATTCCAAACCCTTCCAAAGTGTACATTTTCTTTACTGACCAATGAGACATTTAATTATTTATTGCAGAATACCATATCTAGGAAATAGAAATTTTCATTTTAAATAAAAAAGATAAAGCTGTTTTAAATTGATAAATGAGGAACTTCTGGATTCTTTGAAATATAATCTTGTAGAACTTGTCAGAAATTTGGGCTCCCAATTTGAGTTGGGGTTGCAGAAGAACAAATCAGAATGAAATCCAGACAGTTGTGAGGAAAGGAGATTTATTCATTCCTAAAAGCAGAAGTTTGCTTTTGTGGGTGTTGTTGTTAGTTGCGAAGATCCCATGGAAAACATTCCTCCAGGCCTTCCTGTCCTCTACCATCTTCTGGAGTCCATTTAAGCTCATGCCTACTGCTTCAGTGACTCCATCCAGCCACCTCATTCTCTGTCGTACCCTTCTTCTATTGCCCTCAATCTTTCCCAGCATTAGGCTCTTCTCCAGTGAGTCCTTCCTTCTCATTAGGTGGCCAAAGTACTTGAGTTTCAACTTCAGGATCTGGCCTTCTAAAGAGCAGTCAGGGTTGATCACCTCTAGGACTGACCGGTTTGATTGCCTTGCAGTCCAGGGGATTCGCAGGAGTCTTCTCCAGCACCATAGTTCAAAGGCCTCAATTCTTTTGCGCTCAGCCTTTCTTATAGTCCAACTTTCACTGCTATACATTGCAAATGGGAAAACCATGGCCTCGACTATACGTACTTTTGTTGGCAGGGTGATGTCTCTGCCTTTTAATATGCTGTCTAGATTTGCCATAGCTTTCCTTCCCAGGAGCAAGCGTCTTTTAATTTCTTGGCTGCAGTCCCCTTCTGTGGTGATCTTGGAGCCCAGGAAGATACGCAAGCCCCTTCGCCACGACAAGGCAGTAATCCATGAAGGAGCTTTTATGGGTAGCAACAGAGAAAGTGAGGTACAGAGAGATTGCTTTATGGAGGGGGGGGAACTAGTCCTTGGTGTGGGCTTGAAGGGCATGGGTATTACATGTGTGTGTGACTCTGTCAAAAGGTCAATCTTAATTTTCCTTCCTTGTGTCTGTCAGCTTGTCTTCGTTGTGTAGATGGGTGTCTAGCCAGCTGATTTCTGAGTTTGGGGAAGAGTGAATGAATCGGTTCTTTGTCTGGTTAATTACTCTTGCCCAGGTAATTAGTTTTACTATTTATCCATTGACAGAGCAATCTTAGCAGTGGATCCTTGTTAAAATGTACCTATTTCATTGCAACATGTGGGAAAGAATCTTCTATGATTATTACTGATTATTAAAATTCTTCTCACAAGGTAAATACCAAAGACTATCAATTTAAAAATATTAGCAGATATTTTATAATTTGGAATTTCACAGGACATTGATGACTCCTTTTGATTGCTTAGCCTCTGTTCCTGACAATCCTTCCTTATTCAATTAAATGTTCAAGATAACAGAATAACAGAGTTAGAAGGGACCTTGGAGGTCTTCTAGTCAAAACCCTGCTCAAGCAGGAAAACCTATACCATTTCAGACAAATGCTTGTCCAATCTCTACTTAAAAACCTCCAGTGTTGGAGTACCCACGACTTCTGGAGGCAAGTCATTCCACTGAGTAATTGTTCTAACTGTCAGGAAGTTTCTCCTTAGTTCTAGGTTGCTTCTCTCCCTGATTAGTTTCCATCCATTGCTTCTTGTCCTGCCTTCAGGTGCTTTGGAGAATAGATTGCCCCGCTCTTCTTTGTGGCTGCCCCTGAAATATTGGAACACTGCTATCATGTCACTCATAGCTCTTCTTTTCATTAAACCAGATGTCCCCAATTCCTGCAACCTAAGCATTCCTAAGATGCTTAGATGTCCTTGCAAAACCTGTATGTAAGTAAATACATAATGTATTGTGGCTTTACTTTTACTTTCTGAATACCTGGAACCAACTTGCAAAGATAACTATGCATTTCTGTCCANAAGCGGTGAATGCGCCAACACTGGAAGTTTTTAAGAAGAGACTGGACAGCCATTTGTCCGAAATGGTATAGGGTTTCCTGCCTGAGCAGGAGGTTGGACTAGATGACCTCCGAGGTCCCTTCCAACTTTATTATTATTATTATTATTATTATTATTATTATTATTATTATTATTATTATTATTATTATTATTATTATTAATCATGGTGGGTAGGTGTTGCCTTTGCTGTGGACATTAAAATCACGTCCCTCACAACAGAACTAAGATTTAACAGTTGCAGATACGAGTTTAGGTTGCTGCCTGTATTTCTCTCTCTGCAACATAACCTAATTCTTGAGTCCAGGCACAGGCAATGAGACCTATTAAATATATGGGGCATGACTACTGCAAAGATTCCCTTCTTTTCCTTTAGGTTGCAACTAGGAAAATTGCTAATTTGTTCCTATGAAGTTGAATGATTAGTTCTTTCTTGATGGTAGAACTACAGAGAACCAGCCTGACCACCCTGCGTTGCTTGGTTATTAAAGCAGCAAAATAGTGATTAATAAGGAAGGAACAGTCCCTCAAAGGAAAAGTCAGGTATTGGTAGATGGGTCCTTGCAGGGGCCAGATGGTGAGGCCTGTCTTCTCTTCATGAATAAGAAGGGCAAGAAGTAGGAATGACCAGTCAAGACTGTAGCCTTGCATTTGAAATACGTGTGAAACAATACATTTTAGCTACTATACTATTGAATTTGCTAATGACAGTATCAGGAATGGATAATAGGACAGTAGAATAACCCAACCTAGTAACCCAACCATAGCAGTTATCTGGGTGGGTGGATGGAACATCTAATCTGATGCTAACTTGAATTTTGGGAGCTGACCCAACACAACTGGAGGGCACTAGATTGGAAATGGTGTCTCTAGACTACCACCCAAGGTTTTTTTAGGCTGAACAATACAGGAAAAATCCTGACTGAGACAAGTTTCTTCCTTCCTTCAACCAAGTCTCTGTGATTCATGGCTGATCATATATTAATTCATAAACAAGTCCTGAATAAGTGAAGTCATTCTAACAATACTGTAGGCTTGGCTTAGAAATCTAGGGTCTTGGTGCAAGAAAATCTATCTTCCCTGTCATCACATTCTTTAATTCAATGACAACCAGGAAGACAATAAAGGGAAGAACTAGTGACCCACTCTCCTTTCTCTGTACTCTCCACATTGGAACCTACTTATCCTCCAAAATCTATTTTGGAAAGAAAAAGAGTCCCTTTTTTTAACCATACTCTTAAGATACATGAGAATTTCTTTCAAATTTGTCTTGGTGATGTTTTTGAGCTTATTTTGTTGTTCAAAATGGTGGGAAGTGCTATTGCTGTTTTTTGTTATGCATCTTCCCATCGTTCTGAAACATCCGTCGCTCTTAATTGAGAAAAACCTCACAAGATGAGTTCCTTAAGTTGTTCCTTATCTTGCAACCAGGTAGGCTGCACAAGGCTAGATACATGATTCTACAGGTTAGCCTCACACAATACTTGGCCCTCTAAGTGAGCTAACTAAATAAATGTGATCTGTGGATTCATCCATGTAGTTTCCACGAATCAAGACTGACTCAGAAGTACATGTGTACACATACTCACACATATACAGAGCAAGTACAATATCTCATTCTCTCTGTGAGAGCTTCTGCAGAATTTAATCTTTCCCTCAGAATGCCAAAGCAATCAAATGAAACTATTGAAACATCAGTTAGAAGGAGGGGAGGGGTGGCAGCACAAAATTTAAATCATAGTCTGTGGAGACATCTA